CAGGTATTTTGTCTTAGACAGCATCCTTAATTTCATTCTTTCCATGGCAGAAGTAGATCATATTTCAACAGAATTTATTTGCTTAATGCAGAAATAACAGAGAGAAGAAGCTCTAGCCTGTTCATTTAGGAAGTAAGACTAGATAATAATTGTGATTCCTTCTGGCTTAAAATACTTGAAAAATGTGATGGGTTTCATGTTCCATTCATTTTCCCTAATATCATAATTTCAGAGTTATTATTTTACAAGAGGCTTAGCTGAGCTGCACTCATTCCCAAAGATCTTGAGGGGTTACCTGAGGTGAGACAAAAGATAGGTAAAAATGCCTGAGTAAAGTCCTAATAACCTTTTTCAGCTTTAAAAAAAAACAAAACCAAACAAACAAAAAAATCAACCAAACACCCCCACCACAAATTATCTTCTAGAGAAACACTGGCTGTATCCCTCTTGCATGCAGCAAATGAGTTCCATGTACAGAGGACAACAGTACCCACATCCCAGCAAATTGTGCACTTTTCCAGCCCAAAAGAAGCAGTTAGTGACTTATTCTAGAAGTTGTTTATAAGTATTTGGAAATTGCTAAGAAAAGGCAACTGCTAAAACAATGGGGTCTACATTTACTGGTATGTATATTTGTTTTACAGTCATTAGTACTTGCAGAAATGAGTCCAGCACCTCCAATGGCCCTGGTTTTGTGTCCTGTGGTAGTCAGCCATTGTGGTGCTGTTGTAAAACTGTTGTTAGCACAGGCTGTGGCTTGAAGGTGGTAGCTACACCCAAGCCTAGATGAGGTTTTGTGTGCTATCAGAAAAAGCTGGAGATACTGGCTGTATTGAGAAGGGAGGCAGCAGGGAGAGCAGTGCATGGGGGTGACGTGCTCACGGCAGCCTGGGTTGCTAAGCACACAGCCTGCTATGCCGCTAAGCAGGCAGGACCGGGTAGAGCCATTAAGTCTGGAAGCAGCTGAGGATTTAATAAGCTGCATGCTACCATGCATTTACATAGCTTAAGTTGTAGTAAAGCCCTAGGAGTAAAGGGTCAAAAGTGCAGGGCTGGAGGGCTAAAGCCCATGCAGACTTCATTGTAACCCATCCTGTCTGCACAGAAAAGAACTTGGGGAGGAACCACAAGAAAATGAGTCTTGCTCCAACCAAGGAGAATTCTAATGGCCAAAGAATGTTAAAATAGTTGAAGTTAAAGCACATGTGACCAGGTGTGGCAAAGCTCATTTACACAAAGTTTGTGGGGCACCTATGTGCCCCCAGTAAACCAAGCGTAAGGAGTGCAGTGGAAAGGAAAATGAGATTCCCTTCCTTCATGTTTTACACATCTAAACCAAAATGACTTTTTGCTTGTCCTACCTATATGATCTTAAGATTCTGTGATCTTAAGATTTTTTTATGTGAATCATTTGACACTTTATTTCGCAGTGTACATATTTAACTGTTTCCCTGGGCATCTTCTTCACCCTGACACTGCCAGAGGCTGCTTCCTGTCTCACACAGTGGCTCCCCAAAGCAGGCTCTCCGTCCTCTCTCTCTCTCATTAGCAAAGGCTGTTTGAATACTCACAGAGTGACCAGCTTCGGACGGGTTAGCCCATGTCTGATTTCACTTCCTCTAGGATAATCACAGACTTCAGTGACTGTGCTTTACTGATGCAACCAAGATTGAAATCTGTCCTACAGCAAATATTTATCAGAGCACATCAAAGGAAAAGCAGACCAGAAGAGAAACAAGCAAAACAGTGAGTGCCATTAAACTTTGCCAAAGTAGATTTCAAAGTTGATGAAAACCTCCCCAGAGACACAGAGCTAAAATGTAGGACAAAGTAGAACACTGAAAAAAATAACCCCGTATTTCCAAACACTTATGTCCTATGGAACAATTTTTAATTACTAGTAACTTGCAAAGATGAAGAAGGAAAACACGCACAGAACTAACAATATATGAGCAAAGGCAATGATCATTGCTCTGCTGCTTTTGTTAACAGCTTTGATATGTATGCCCATCTTGGCTACCTGCTCAGGTCAGGGACCCTTTCTATAGAGTAGTAAGAAAGAAATAGGACAATATCCACAACTGGCTTTCTAAGTGATATAAAATAACAGGATGACACTTTAATTAGATAATTAAAACTCTGTTGCCTCATTGCTATGTGCCAAGGACACTCAGTTTCTTGGCAACAGACCTCTAATTTTCTTTCTTCGATATCCAGGTCACAGCCATTTGGATGAGAGGCTCATTTCCAGCAGCAGTGCATGGCAGCGGCACACAACTTCCCGTCCTGCTGTTGGTAAACCCCTTAAGTTCAGTGTCTTTCAACTACATTTATAAAAGCTGTTAAATGTTAAAGGCCTTATAAAAGGTAGTTTCTCAGTATGCACAGAGGTCTGGGGACATGTCTTAAAAACTCAGGTTACCCTGTGCAACACCAGCAACTTTTTACACCACCAGCAACAGCCTCATGCTGTTTCAGCTAAAGAACATGACTGAAAGGGAAGAGAGCAAGGAAAACAACTGTTTCATCCCCAGCTCTCCAGCTTCTTTGAGAGGCAGGTCTGCCGCATCCCTGCCCATTTGCTATCATTCCCCCTATGAGAAAGGGGAACACTGACCTAGAAGAGGCCTACCTGCTGTCCACATAAGGTGAGGAAATCGCATACGCTGCTGAGGAATCCTCGATGACCGCTGGTACCAATGTTTTGCCTAAGCTGCCATCATTTGAACTGTAGAGCAAACTCCAGCCTAAGGTTATCAAACAGCATCAACCTATATGCAAGGAAATCCTCATTCCCAGCCCCAGTGAACTGGAGAGACAGAATAGCACATGCATGTATTTGAAAACCAGGTACTTTTTCACAAGAAAGCAATACCGCGCACACGACCAAGAAGTGGGTGAGACAGAACAGATCATACGCACCAGATGGTAGTCACACTGCTTAATGCACTGCTGGAAGGCGCCCAGCAAATCTGGTGATGAGCCATAGAAGAACCAATATAGGATAATGCTCTTTGTTAAGTGCCAGCAATTTATTACAGTATATTCCTGAGAACAGCTGAGGTGAATTAACCACAGTAACCATTTACTATCCCTTCTGACAACCCTGAGACTGTGTCTGTGCTTCTGCTGTGGTTGACGGCACCTTCTGGGCAAATGTGAACTCATTCAAAGCCAACCAAAGCCAACTGTCCAGGTTACCGTAGTGCCAAGCCCCAGAGAGCAGACCACCCAGAGGGTGTATTAGCTTATGCTTGCTGCTACACTAACCATCCCATGGGTATTGGTCATCTGGGAGCATGACCAGGACATGCTTACATCCACTCAGAAAACAGAACTTGACAAAGATGATATATGAGGTTTTGCAGTATTACTGGGTTAAATGGTCCCCACTCCAGCTACTTCAAGCAAAGAAAGGGTTACTAAAAACATGCCTTCTACAGAGTTCTGAGAAGCAGGTGTAAGACATTTGTATTCTTACTGTGTACAGCCTACATCCATGCCTATATATCACCACTGAACTCTATAAACATCCTTCAAGTTTAATGAAAATAACCAAAATAAAAAAATCATTGAACAATTTTATGAAAACAATGCTGCAAATCAAAGCCTGGCAGAACTTGTGGAGATCATATTTCCTATTGCCTGTCATGAATTTGATCTTGCCCTAGGGACAGGTGAGGTAAACAAAGCAGATCTTCGACCACAAATATATGATTGCCTTGATATTCTGGAAATGAAGCGAAGACAATACTGCTTGCTCTTTATTTTTTTGGTACCTTGTGCACAGACATGGAAGTGAATTAATTTTAATTCAGAAGAAGACCACTTCTCTCTACAGAGGAGCACATCTTAAATACTATTACTGTTTCATGAACCTCTCATGATCACATAATAGCCATTTTCTACTTGACCTGCTGTGGAACTGTCCTGGGTTCAGCAGTAGCAGTCATGTTTCTCCTTCATGGTAGCTGGTGCAGTGCTGTGTTTTGACTTCCAGCCTGGGAACAGTGCGGGTGATACCGATGTTTTCAGTTGTTGCTAAGTGATGTTTACCCTGACCAAGGACTTTGTGAGGCTCATGCTCTGCCAGGGAGGAGGGGAAGCTGGGAGGAAGCAGAGACGGGGAGCCTGACCCAGGCTAGCCAAGGAGGTATTCCATACCACAGCACGTCATGCCCAGGGTGGGGGGTAACTGGGAGTTACCCGGAAGGACACGGGCTTCCAGGTGGGACTTGTTTTCTTGGCCGGTGGTATCATATTCTCTTCCCTTGTTATTTTCTCTTATCATTGTTGTCATTGGTGGCAGCGGTGGTGATTTGTGTTGTACATTGGTTGCTGGACTGTTCTTGTCTCAACCCGTGGGAGTTGCACTCTTTCGATCCTCCTCCCCATTCCCCTGGGAGCAGGGAAGGGGAGAGCCCTGGGGGGGGGGTGGCCCTTGATTGTGAGTGAACAAGCTGTCTGGCTAGGGTTTAAACCACGACAAGAACAAAGCACACAAGTACTCCATGGTTAGGTTTTGCTGAGCCATCTGCTCTTGAACCATTGCTATCCACATCCAGTCATCTGCAATATCTAATAAGCCATGGATCAAGGCAGATAGCAGCCTTGGCAACCTTACCCTTCTGGATGAGCCAATTCAATAACATGGTTTATCATAGTTGGGACATAGGTATGAGCAGTTTCAAACTATTATTTAAGGGCTTTGCTATGTTTATTTGGGTTATCTATCTTGGAAACATTCTTGCAGCGTGATGGCATGCAATTATAACATACAAATCTGTTTGCAGAGGAAACCTAGTCACCCGCTAAAATCTGTAGAATTATTTCACAGTTTTAACAAGAAAAAGTATGCAGTTATGTCAGAAAACAGAAAAAAAAATCTTTAAAAATACAAAATCTTAGTGAAGAAACTGTATTAGATATAACGCAGAATGTCAATTCTTCTTTAAAAAGAAAGTATCTCCAAAAAAACGTTTTAGACTTCACACAAGAAATTTGGTAAGAGGCAGTTTTATTTGTTTCAGTCCAGCTTGCTTTTATCATCTGCTTTTAGATAATTATTTTTAAAGTTAATCATCCCCTGTCTCAAATTTAGACTTAAAAGGTGAATAGCACCTTTGTATTTGAGTAGTAAAGATAGCTGGTTTATTTATAGTTATTGAAATCATTACCTTCTTTATTACTACCACAGATATTAGATCAGTAATATATTTTCTGTAACCTATCCACATATACTTCAACATACTGCAGCCTGCTTTGTTGTGGTCTGTGTTTTTTAACTGTAGATCTGATGCCAATGAATGGAATAGAAGCAGGACTCCTTAGAAAGCATCACACTTCTCATCCCTGGAAAGAAGTTATTTTCTTTACTTCATTATTATTTCCCTTGACAGTTGCCTCCAGCCTGTGACAATGATGTATTCTGTAGTCTTGGCTGCTGTTTGGTGGTGTTTCACTGACAGTTAGCACTTTGTTACCATGGGATGACCGCTCAAAAGACTCTGGAGAGTGATATCATTTTCGAAATGCAGTTTTTAATGAACAGATTCATCTCAAATCATCCTGGCAGCAGTCTCTTGAGAATGGGCATGGAAAGGAGTTCCTCTAATACTGAAACTCAGGTTCCCTTTAATGTAGGATTAAGGCATGCTAACCAAGAAACCTACTGACCACTCTTCCTCATCTAGGAAAGGAGAATCTCCAGACTTCCTAAAAGTATTAATAAACACTATACATCCACTATCCATGACCACTAAAGAACTACGTCTGGGTTTCATTTTGACTGTAAATGTGGTGATGCCTGTGAACCAATCAAAAGATTACCGATCTTTCAGAAAGATGAAATCAACTGTCATTCTCCTCGAGCAAAAAAAGCAGGTCTTCATTTTTCCTCAGTCGATGTTTCTTCATTCTCAGAATCCCCCACTTTCAGATGAAAGTGCTTCATCAACAGATTTTGTATGCCTCTCCCCAGCATAAATGCCATAATGCAGCTGGTCATCCTTCACAGTAGCCCAGGACATCTGCTTGGTGGAGAACCTTGCTGCCCACTCTCCTGAACTGTTAACAACAATGACACCCCCTAAGCCTCCAACTCGCATCTTCATGTAGTCTAATGCAGTGTCAGCAGCCATCTCTGGTGACATTCCTGAAACGAACAAGATAACTTCATGGTATCTATTCTAAAATTCCCTTGAAGTTTCACCCCTCCCCATGAAGCCAGCCAAATGTAATTCCTCCTTCCACTAAATTGGCATGAAATTTCCAGTGCAGCAAAGAAACTGTTTATAGGAGGGCTCTGGACAGTTGCTAATAGCTGCGATGGTATGGTGCTGATACAAAGCCAGGATTTAAATAGCTTCAGATTGTAATTCAGTTTCAGTGTTTGACATAGACTAACTCATCAACTCCATGTTCAAGACACATTTCTGATACCATCATTTGAAGGGAAACATGTCAGTTTGCAACCTTTCCATCAAAGTTTGTCACAAGCTAGGTTTAAAGCATTTACAGCTTTAAAAAAAAGCAAACCCTACATTAAAACAATAAAAAATTTCAGTCATCATCTCTGTACCAAGTCCACTGGCTGCAATGGAGTTCAAAGCATGTACTTCACATTGTCATAATTTTTCAAAAGCAGGCATCAGCGTCACTCCTTCCTGAAACCCCTGAAAGAATCGGGCAAGACGAGGGCTCAGTGTACTAGACATCAGAGAAAGGACCAGCAAAGCAACATTATCTTTTCATTATACTTAACTCATATTAACAGGAATATTTTCTAAATAAATCAAAGTTAATGTATACATCATACACACTGGCCTGTAACAGCTGCAGAAAACTACAAGTTTAAGTATATATTCAGGAGTACAGTTGGCTCAGCCTAATTGTTCTATGCTATATACCATGAGTAATGTTATGCAGCTTAGCCTGCACAACAAAAACTGACCTTCATGCCTTCCCTGAAAATTTTGAGTTAAAACCAAACAAAACAGCAGAGTCAGAATTATTCACAGCACTGGTGACTGACAGGATAAAGCTCCTTTCTCTAACGTTACGGGTGACACTGTGACTATTCAAGTCAGTGGCACTGACTTCAAAGGGTCAGTATTTCACTGTTTGATTTTTTCATCAAGACAACAGCTGCACCGTAAGACAGAGATCCCAACAGCTGTTAAGACAGGGAAAAGCAATTCACTCCTGCAATATGAAAGTCAATTTTGCAGCATTGGTCCAAAAGAAGATATTTACTATGTGAATTACTGAATAGCTGAAAAGAATTATGAAGGAGCTTTATAGCTGTTCTTAAATACACAGCTTCAGTTGACTCTTCAAGGACTCAAAAAGTTTTAATAACTTGCAGGTTTGTTTTCAGCACCTTCATGGAAATGGAGAGGGGGGAATAAAAAAAAAGTACTGCTGACGTATTTTTCTGGCAGCTGAGTTATACTTCTGGGCAGGATGTATGAAGGTAGAGCAAGCACAGGCAGGGTGAACAAGTGCAAACCCATTAAACATACACACGTGTGGGTTCTTTTTCTTTCTTCTTTTTCTCTCTTTAAAAAAAAGAAACCCGTACTTTTTAATTTGAGCCTTATTTACCTTTCATACTGATTTATCACAAGCCAGATAACTGCTATCAATGCACAGGTTTTGCAATGCAGTTAACTTCAAGCCAGAGAAGAAACTGATTTACACAGTTTAGACTAAATAGAGCTTAGAAGGCCATTCACAAATCGAATACCTAGGAGCACAATACAGGAGTAAGGTGAGATCATAATGTGTTAGAGCTTTGGGAAATAATCTGTAGGTTGTGTTTTATGCTGAAACTATCACATTAGCCACGAGCTTTACAGAGAAATGTACCCATTATATGCAAACAGCTCTATAAAGCGTAACAAAAATATTCTCAGTTGCTACTTCGTCTCCCTACTCACTGCTTCTCCAATAAAAATGTAAATTGAAAGTTTTCCAACTATTTCCAGTTTGGTTGGTCTCAAAGCAAGTTACACTCTACTGCCCAAAAGCTATTACTTTCTAAAAATAATGGTGATATCTATATTAATGGTTCTTCAACTGCATGCAACACAAGTATGTTGTGTCTGGCTATGTTTACAGGCTGTAATATAATCAAGGGTTTAGATGACAGACTAACTCATGAAGGTAAAGCTCCAAAGGGTCATCCCACAGTCAGATTATATTACAGTCACATAAGACATACTGTGTCAGCTGTTTACCACATACCCACCCAGTTAGTTTAGTGTATTTTCCAAAACAAAATGAAAATTTAAATCATAGTTAAAACATCTTCAAAGAATTTCTGTTGCTATAATCAGAGCTGTTAAAATAAAGACCTTTACAGTTTATGAGAAAGGTGATATCTGATGCTTTCTTATTTCAGCTCTGATTATCCATCTCTAGTTCTCCCCTACTGCTTCCTTAAACATATCTTGCTTTTATTTGTTTTCAGTGTCATTGTTCACAAAATTTTAGTTTTAAATTGGGAAAAAATACTAAGAGAACTTCGGTGAAACAAAGCAGACAATGTCCTTCAGAGTCATTGATCTAAAGCATAATTAAACATCAAGCAGCACAGATATTCCTGTCTATTTAAGACTGTTTTAGATTTATTAATCTTTTAGTACTTTGTTTTGTTTTTAAAGAGAGGTGACCCATCCACATACCCCTGGGAGCAACTCTTCTAGGATGATAGTACGTAAACTGAAATCTGTCATTAGGCAATTTTTCATATCCTTATAAATTCAGCCTACAGGAAGTTTGGAATATACCTTGCTCCATGTGATAGAGGATCAGTCGGGCTAAGACCACTTTCATAATGCTCTCCCCATGTCCTGTGGTTGAAGTGGCACCAGAATGATTATCAGCATAACCTCCACTTCCTTTTCAGAGGGGAAAAAACAAGTCAACATTCTGTAATACAATTTACAAACTCTGCATTGTTTAAAATAGGTACCAAGCATTTCTTCCTTAAGGTCCATCACTTCTGTGCACTTCTGGGAGCAAAGTGTCAGTAACAAACTTCCTCATTTCTGCCTCAATTTAAAAAGTTAAATATATGAAAGAAATCAACAGCTGGATGAAGCCAGTTGCCAAGTTGAGAGAGGCAGATGATTAGCAATCTGCTTGTGGTACAAGAAGCAGAAGCAGGCCAACACTTCATAGGGATAGGCAAAAATATTTACTAGAACAGCAACAGACAGTATATTGAGGATCAGCAAGACAGCGATAGGATGCAGAATACCAGGACATACTATATCACTAACTGAGAAGATAAGAAGGAAGATCTTGTGAGGACATCGGTGATTTGACCAAGTTTGAGGGTAACTCATCCACAAGAGCAAAAGCAGGTAAGAGATTTGAAGAGCCTGGAATCTAGTGAAGCATCACAAAGCACCCCTGAAGAATCTCCTAAGCCCTCACCACAAGCAGTGTTTCTTCTGCTGAACTCCCGCTCCCCCCCCTCCTTCATTTTCTTTCCTTCCCATCCTTGTTTTGCTGGCACATTCCACACCCTGTTCTTCACCAAGCTTCCGCTTGCTCAACACCCATGTTTCTAGCACATCTCTTAAGAAAAAGATTTCCCAGGAGCTGGGGAGGAACATACCACAGCATTATAAACAAGGCACTGGGGGAGGGGCACAGAAGAGCTGTGAAAGTTTCTTCCCTTCTGCACTTTCTTGATCAGATCAGACCCTTCCAACGTACCTGGATTTACACATGGTAAAACCCTGCCACAGTCAGTCTGTCCTTTTAAAAGGACAGCTAGTGTTTCTGTATCCAAACCTGCAAATGTCTAGTAAGAGCAAAAGTTGCAAGCAATACACTTAACAGTGCCCAGTTCCACTTGTCCTTCACAGACCTATGTCCCATACTATAGGAGCCCTGAACATGATCTACATAAGGAAAGGGTATTTGCAGTAAGAAGGCTGCAAAGGATACCAAAATACTAGCAATTTAGGGTGCGAGAAAAAACTTTGTATTAGTTTTATAATAATCCTGTACTGCCAACAGCAGTGCTACGTGAGTTTGGAATATGTTTTACTAATTATTTTCCAAATCCTGGCTGTATGCTATAACCCAGAAGCAATCAAATGACAAGTCTGTCCCATGACAGGAAGAAGTCTGGGGAAAGGATTTCAAGTGTCTCTTTATACTTGGATAAGAGATCTCTTAAAATATTTCCTTTACTCCACACTGCAACTATTAGGTTCTGAGGCAGTCTTATCAGGGCTTTCTAAGAACAGGAATTTACTCGAAGTTGCCAGTCATTTTACAATTCTGGATCACTGGAAGAACAAACAGTAATTACAATTATACCTATTAACTAAAGTATCAGGAAAACAGCATCTTAGTATGGAACAGGCTACATTTTTTGGCTTAGCTATAAGCATGGATGTACAAAACAAGAGCTTTATCAGAATGAACATAAGAAAAATGCAGTTAGCATTCAGGAAAGGACAGAAAAAAGAAATTCTGATCCCCATTTTCCAGACAGAAAAGTGTTACATGATGATAATAATGACAGTACTCCTCTACTCCCAAATCCTTAATTGTAATCTCCATGTTGTGTTAAGAGACTTCATTTCATACATACATATACATTTATGTTTCATTTCACTAATGAGAAGCAGAATGTATAATACTTTCTTTTTTCCTTTAAATGAGATACATCCAATAAATGAGGCAAGATCCCACACCCCATACCTATGCATGCTGTGTCACCAACACGGCCAACCATTTTATTAGAGAGTCCTCCAGTAGATGTTGCACAAGCTACATTGCCTTCACTATCTATAGCAACAGCACCGACTGTTCCAAGGTCTCTGCCAAGAAAAACAGTTCACAAAATCAGGTAGAATTAAAGCAAACCTGCCAAAGCACATATTTTCCAGGTAGCTTTAAAAAAATATTACTGTAAAAAATTACTACTCATCACAAAGCTATTTTTTACCATGCTTCTCATTACAAAAATAACAAGCAACATGTGACAATTCTCCTAGCTTTATATTCAATAGAGTAGAAAATACTTAATTCTTTCTTATCATCCTCTATAACTTGTTTACCTTCATAGTATGGAAACTTCAGGTGGGAGAGAAAGAAACCCACAAAACAAAAGCACACAGGGCAGAAATATTGCTAGCCAGCATAGTTCTGGAGTATTTTTTTTGGCTGTGACACACCTGACACACAAACTTTCCACTAAACAGCAACTCAAAGATGCAGGAATTATCTCCAGTGTCTCAACAGGAGGTTAACCAGAATTATTAATGACAGTGCACATAAATGAGTGAACACAGAAAAGGACAGTAATATTATGCATGCACTGAATCATTTCCTTCCTGTTGTTCCTCCTTTTTCCTCTTCCTTATTCCCCTAAATGTTTGAATGCCACACCAAAAGTTGTTTATGTGCCTTTCAACTAGCATTGTTCACAATGCATCATTAATACATATTTTCTTTGTCCTCTGTAGCTACGCAATCTTGAGGTTTAAATCACTTGGCCAGTGGAGTCTGCTGAAACCACACATCAGCATAAAAATCTTCATGCCCTGAAGAAAATAGAAGTCAACTACTGCTTTATTTCTTCAGCACAGAGAAGTCACATATAACAGGCTGCTTAAAATATACATGTGCATTCATACTCAGAGAAAAAAAAAGAGGCTATTGTAACTTACTGTAACAGCTGCTATATTGAGAAGCAAGGCATTACTGAGTAGCAGCGGTTTGAGTGTCCACGCATTCCAATCCTGGTAATTCGTGCAGGAACATAAAAACAGTATCTGGCTAGGAGAGGTGTACCAAAAAAATCTAAACCCCTCCACACAGGAGAAGAATTTCTAACAAGCCTTTAAGGAACTGCTCAACAGGCAACTGGAACAGGAATACCTTTGTGAGTTCCTTGGGCACTGGTGAGGGTCTCTCTCTAGTCTCCCAAAATCTAAGCTGATAAAGTCAAAGTTTCTGTGTACCATGAAACCCACAGTCAGTTTTTCAGAGAATCAACTTCCTGTTCCCTCCAGCTTATGTAAAATATCATACTGCCAGTCCCTACACTTCATTCACAGCAATTCAAAATTGACTGATGAATCACAGGCCTTACAGACTGCTCTGACATTTATGTGGAGACAGACCTCATCTCAAACTGGTATGATGGTGCAGATGGGCTTCCCACCCATCCATCTGTTACAAGTGATTTGCTGAAAAGAGTATTAGTAAATTCAGTACTCCCTTGCACACTCATGTGGCACCTTTCAACCAACTAAAGTTAGATCTTCCTCAGAAATTAAGAAAGATACATCCAGATGTGCACATTTTCCTAGATACGAATTTACTTTAAGCAACTGTGAGAATACTGGAAGTACACAGATCACATATGCAGCAGCTATCTGTTCTGGCACAAGAACTCAACTGGCAATAAAAGAGAATTGTGTCCAACACACCTTATCTGCAGTGGAGTAAATAGGCAGCTACATTATTTCTTACTGTCCCTTTAAACTTTTTTTATTGCTTCAGTGTCACATATTTTCTCTGTTCATCTTCAGAACAAAGACAAAAACAATATAAAAAACCTGTTGCATAGCTAGTTGACTTAGAAATTTTGCCAAGGCAGGCAAAACTCTCTGAGAAATACTGTATTATAATCATCTCTCTATGGCTGGGACAATAGCAAAAACCTCAACTAGTATCTGTAGTATACCAGAGGATGCTATTAGTAGTAACTATTTTTTTTAATCAAGAATTATTCTTATGTACTGGATATACTGTGATACAGAATGGAGCAGCTGGATTTGTTCACCCACTTTCATCTAAATCATTCACTATACAGTATCCATGAAGTTAGACGTACTTATTCTATCCCCATTCAACTAATGGCATCTGGTATTTTGTCTCTTCGCCCTGCATCAACAGGATAGTGATTACTGTCAGGGTCCTTGTTAATTAATAGTGGCTTGAATTACTCTTGCAGTGTGACTCACAGAGGGCCTAGCAGCCCATCTACTATTTTACGGCTGGGCTCAATTCCTTTTCTGTGGGGTTCTTGGGCAATCTCTGGCAATTTGTGACAAAAGGTATGGTAAGAATCTTTAAAGTGAGAAACTGAAGATATAATGGACCACACATTATTGTCAGCAAATGGTGAACAAGATGCCATATTGTACATGCCATGGAATCGTAAGGTTTTAGCATGAGGCTTCTAACCAGCAGAAGAGAAAGGACTCTCGTGGACACACCAAGCTTTGCTTGGAAAGCTGTGAGCCCCCCAGGTTTCCAACATTGTTAAGACCAGAGGACTGCATGTAAACTATACACCAACCTTCAAATTCCCAGTATGAGCTGGTATTATGTTGCCTCTGACTAATACTACTTCACCTTCTGTCTGTTTGCCTTATGCAAGTTTCTGCATAATCACTGTGGACATAGCAGTCCAAAGAACATTCCACGTATGATATAGGAACAAATGGGCTTGCATAAAAAAGACCTGGTTTTAACTTTGTGAGTTTGTGCTGATGTTTTGGGCAATGGTTGTCAGAAAAAGCACAGTGTGGCTAAGTAGAAAAAGTCTTGACCTCTTCAGAAATACACAAGGCTTCTACAACATATATATCAGAACATGACAATCCTGAAATTGAAGACACCTAACACTGTTATAAGAAAATAAAATTAAAATTAAGCAGTTATAAAGACTGAATGTAGACTCAGATACCATGCCATTCCAACTTATATATTCAGGAGACCAAGTGGCAGTAGGGACTATGCCATCCTCAAAATTCTTCACAGTTAATTATAGTACCACACAGTCCTTGGACAGACCATGGATCAAAAGAAAACTAATACAAGAATAACTGCAACTGAGACCTTACAGTCAAGGAACAACTTCACTTTGTTTACAGACCATATTTACACTTGCCTTGTGAATCTGTTTTTCCTTGTACCAATTCATGGAAAGTAACTTACAGTTGTAGTTTATAGCCTCATTTCATGTACTTTAATTAATGTGCCCACAGAAGAAACTTCCTCCTTTTGCTCTACAAATTCTTCAGCTCTGCTTCTCTCATTACACTACTTCACAGAACAAATAAATATCATGTAATACAGCACTTATGTAATGTAATACAGCGTTAACCTATGCTCAAACGTTAATGTACAAATGAAAGCTCCAACAATGTAGCATTTATGCCTACCTCACAGGCATAGAAAAAAGTGGTTTCCTTCCTTTCTCATCCACCTTGCCTTCCTCTCCATACGAGACTTGCTTATTTTTCAAGCGACTTTCGTTTTGTTGTTATGCAATACCATCCAGTAGCATCTCTTTCTACAGCCACCACTACGCTGAACTTCTTGGTCATTTTTTTCATTCCTATCTACAATAACCAATAGCCACAATCAGCACTGATAAGAAGTTACTGGTCAAAACCTGATGTCACTTAACTAACCAATCCAGTTTAAAGACAAATTTGTTCATCTACTTAACCAAGATCAGCTTTACTATTTTTTTTTTCCATGGACTTTTTTTCCCATGGACTTGTTTTAGAACGTGGAATAGGGATTTTTTAAACTCACAGCTCCACCATGGAAAAGAAGTATACATAGTGATGCCTGCTGCTTGTTAAAGCTGTTCTATGCACTCCTGTAACTGGTGATTTTAACAGCAATAGTAAGTTCTTTGTTCTCCATTACTGCCACAAAACCCGTGCTATGCCAAAGTGACTGACAACTTCTTAAACATCAGCAGTTTGGTTAAGTTTGTTCCAGTCACTTGCACGTGAGCAAATTCATTGGAAGCTTGATTTTATCATTACTTTCACTGAGGGCATACTGTAAAGACTGTATCAAACCACGTAACACTTGAAACTGAAGTATTATCTGAATACAGACCTTCAAGCTTTGGGGTTTTGTTTGTGGTTTTCTGTTTTGGTTTGGGTTTTTGTTTGTTTTTAACTGATAGGATGAATTAAATTACTTGAATTTAAAAAGAAGAAATATTTTACAAAAACCCTACTTCTGAAACTCTTCAGGGTTGGAATCTGGCTCAAGGTTCTTCTTCCATCTCTCCCGGGATCTCTCGGTTATGAGTTTTTCTCCTGGAGTCTCAGGAATACCCATGGCCTCAGCAAACAGGTGTGCACCGTGGTCAGTCAGCAGCATGTGCTTTGTCTACGGAAGGCAGACAAGATTCAGTGACAATTCTTGTTTTGCCTTGTACTGAGCAGTTTTGTGTAATTATTATTTTTAGATTTATTCACACAATTAAAAATCTTGTTTTATTTTTAAACTTTCTAGATTTCTGTGCCAATAACCTCTTCCACTAGCTGAAAAAAATTCAGCTCTCCAAAACACAAACTTTAATCATTACTAGAAAAGAACTACATTTACCTTTTTAATGCTTATTATAATGGGAGAAATTGGTAAATTTGCTCTTTTGCTGATTTGCATGCAACTTTTGTACTGCTTTCAGTCAACCACCAAATCATTACTTAACTGTTTTGTCCAGTTAACTTAGATCTAGAAGGATTTTATCCAGAAGGAAAGAATGGTAAATAAATGCCTGTTCTTCTTGAAGGTATTACACCTCATAAATTAACCAAAAAATTTAACTATCATACACTAAAGTGTTTCTTGACATCAGCTGAACCATTATTTTAAACATTTCCTTCAACTACCTGCTACTCTTATAGTCCCAGATTTTCAATTTTTTTAAAAAACAAAACCAAACCAAACACAACTGTTCTAATGGGTTTGACCAAAAAATGTTTTCTCTCTTGTAAGAACATTGTCAGAAGATCTATTTTGCTCCTTCATTTACCAAAGCACTTAGGCCAGATTTTAAGTCAATAACTAGTTGAATCCATGCTTCAAAGTCTCTATATGTTGGTTAATTGCTATTTTAGAGAAACTTGCCAGATAAATTATTTTGTTAATCCTTTTCCTTTAGTAGGACCTCTAAAATCTGTTTTGTTGGTTTTGTTTTTTTTTTTTAATAAATCCGTGTCCAAAAATAAACATCAACTTCTTGAACCCCTACACAGCTACTAATTGCCTAAGAAGGTTTTGGACGAGTGATGGTCTGACTGAACGTCATGGAGTTATTCCAGACCACAGCACCTGACTTTAAGCAAACTTGTATGTCCATGCAACAGCACAGCACACAGGTACTAACTGAAGTGCAAAAAGCAGAACCACGTGATGCTCGAGGCAGCAGGCCTGCAGAGACTTGCAGGGCATACAAGTGGCAAATATGCAGCTCTCAGCCTGAAGCGAGGACTCCACATGTTGGGTATTTGTGTGTCATGCTGCATTCCACAGAACAGCCTTAGACTTTCAAGATGTTGAGGACCACCAACTTTATTGATTTCTAAAGCCATGACAAGCAATCACTACCATGACCAACCAATAGCACTGCATTGTTTTAAAGGATTCCAGGCAAACTTCTTCCCAAATCACAGGCACTGATCTCTACTTAAGCTTATTACAGCCTCTGCACTAATCCTTTCCAATAGTTACAGACATGGGAAATGTGACTACACTTCAGAAACATTCCTGACATTGTGGCACTGACATCAAATGTTTCTGAAAATTCAAGTATCTTTTTATTGGCAAAGTAAGTCCATAATTCAGAAGAGCACTGCTTTAGGGAACAAGAATACAGGTTACAAGAAAGAAGTTTTATGTATGCATGAAAGAGTGGACAATGGGCTTACATGCCAATTCATGTTACCAGACAACTACCTACTTATAAGAAAGCTGATGGTCTTCAACTTGAAAACCAACTTCTTCATGCAATACCGCCCTCCTCTGCCACTAAACCACCAGAAGTATTTTTTTTCTGGTGGTTGGTGTTTGTTGGTTTGTGCGGTTTTGTTTGGTTGGGTTTTGTTTGTTTTAGGAAATACACTGAACTTCTCCCTTTATTGCAAGACTGTGCCCTCCCCATCACCTGCTTTTAGCAATTGAGACTGTATCATCCTTCAAATTAGTCTAAAGAAAACAAAATCAAGTTTTACTGTCAAAAATTGAAGTTATTTCTTAAAACATTTTCAAAGGCTTTCCTCCCATATGCAGATTCTGATAACATATCCACCTTCCTGACCAGCACAAACAAGAAATACTTGCATACAGAGGAATAAGCTTTTATGGTAAGGTTTTGGGTTGTCAAAATCTAGTTCATGTTAATGGGAAATGGGGAAGAGAAAAATACCCAAATTTCTGCAACTGCCCTGAAATTCAGACCATCACTGTTCTTTACTTAACAATCCTGGCAGTGCACAAAGCACAGCAAAAATTTACACCTTTGCCTTGAGGAAGTCACATGCTCTAGACTAAATTCTCCTTTGTCTAATGGAAAGGGGTGGATGATATAGTAGGAGAAAACATAGACACAGCTCACCTATAGCAATGGAACAGTGCTCTAATATTCACAAGATGCCCATCTATGAAGTGTCTGAGCTGAGGGGGACTGCATGCCCCATTTAAAAAAAAAAAACAAAACCATTTTGCTATCATTCTACTTTTGTTCACTACAAACAGGAATAACTGAATAGGAATTTAACTGTTTTCTCAAGGATTTGCTGAATTACAGATGGAAGGCTTTTATTATGTTAACTAGAGGCTGCCGTGTTCAACGGCATAGTAAATCATGACTGGAAATTATTCTGGTGCCCTCCTTCCTTCTACCCTGTGAATCTGGACAAGTTTGAACCCACTGAAAACATAACAGCACACAGGATAACTGTGTACAACAATCTAGAAGAACTACTCTGACCACCAGATGGAGCCCATATTGTTCTATGATAGTAACAGAAATAAGAGAAAGTTACAAGTAGACAGGGAAGGTATTTTCGGTTTGGTTGGTTGGTTTGGGGAGCTGCACGTTTCAAAATTCTTCAAGACAGCGAGGCATCTCTAAACCACTGGGAAATAAGCACTCTGACAAGCTCAGGACTCCAGTAAAAATCCTACAGTCTTATGACCCATGGATCACAGAGTTTAAAATACTTTTAATTATACACAGTAAAATAAAATACACTTTGAAATGTACTGTGAAATAGCCAGGGTTGGTGCCACAGAATTCCTGTCCAAGATGAACAGAAGAGTCACATCATTTGGTATTCCCATATACAATACCTGATGCAGAAGCAGCAGAAGCTCACCTCAAGATATATCAAGGAATTCCGGCCAACCTCTACATTTAAACTTTGCCATCTACACAGATTCTTTTGTATCTGGGCAAAGTGTAACACACTTTACCACAAAATTTCATAGGTTTATTCCTGAATGATGCTACTTGGCCCTGTATAGTTGGATTTTATTATTTCCTTTCAAATTTATACCAGCTGTGGAGCTACAGGAGATAAACATGTATAGGTCAATCTTTCCCTGAGCTTTCAATTGCATGACAGAACTGTCCTCAGAATGCTATTTTTAATAAATACCTCTCAGAAACCTTTAAAATAAAAGTTCTTTGTGGTCATGACCATAGTTTCCAAACACTACAATCCTTTTTCCCCTTCTTTCCTGCTTTAAAGCACTACACAAAAGTCATCATTGAGATGTATCAATATACAGAAGTTTCTAAGGAAAATGCTTCATACTCAAGTACATATTCAACATACCTTTTCCATGACAAGTCGAGCAAGTTTTATTGGATTTGCTATGCATTTAACTGCAGCTACTGCTCCAGAGTCTAAATTTTTTCCATCCATGATTATGGCATCCATTTCTACTTCACCTTCTTCATTTAGAACAGATCCACAGCCTAAAGACAAAAAGAAAAGAAAAAAGCAAAACAAACAAACAAAAATAAACCAACAAAAAAAAGAAGAACAGGGAGAAAGGGAAAAAGAGACGTCATTAAGAGCTAACCATCAGGTGACTCTATTACTAGATCTCATGAAACAATGTTTCCCAGTTTGTTGTCTGATTTATTGAAAGTATCTTCTGAATGCAAACAAACCAGCAGAAACACTGCTGAGTATAACCACAAAATCCAAACATTAACAGAAGTCTCACAGGGTACAACATCTACTTTAAAACTGAATTTTTATAGGATGAAAACACACTTCAAATCCTATCCAAAATTATATACTAGGTAGGAAATTTAAAACAACAAACAACTGTGAACAGAATTCTTTATACCCCAGATCACTTCAAGTGCACATAAAATTATTTTAACTTTATGGTTCTTCCAAAGGAAGATATAACATAACCCAACAAAATAGTATAGTGTGCAATCCTATCAACAGATTAACATCACATAACATTCCAAGAAACTGCCAAAATTGATGGAGCAGAATAAAAGTGTCCACTTTCTACTGTAACAGAAGCTTGAAATAGCAAGTTCTTCATTACCACATAAAAACAGTAAATGAAGGAATTAAAAAAAAAAAAAAGTAATAAAGTGTTGGGTAGTTATTTTCTTCTGTAATTATCAGTGTTACCACTAACCTAATTAAAAATTAATGATACACAAAATGAGACAATGCAAATAGGTTTGGGTTTAGGTTTTTTAATACTGCCATATTGTTATCATAGGGTAGAAAGACTTTAACATTGTACAGAGCTAAAACACATTTTATTTCTGTTAAACCACCACTAAACAAACATTTTGTTAAACCAAAAGGTCAGAAAACACTGTTAATAATTGTTGACACAAGACTTCAATACCAATGTACCAGACCTGAAGGTATGAATCATAGAATAGTTAGGGCTGGAAAGGACCTTAAGATCATCTACTTTCAACCCCCCTGCCATGGGCAGAAACACCTCACACTAAACCATGCCACCCAAGTCTCTCTCCAACCTGGCCTTGAACACTGCCAGGGATGGAGCATTCAGAGTTTCCTTAGGCAACCCATTCCAGTGCCTCATCATCCTCACAGTAAAAGAACTTCTTCCTTATATCCAATCTAAACTTCCCCTGTTTAAGTTTTAATCTGTTACCCCTTGTCCTATCATTACAGTCCCTAATGAAGAGTCCCTCCCCAGCATCCCTATAGGCCCCCTTCAGATACTGGAAGGCTGCTATGAGGTCTCCACGCAGCCTTCTCTTCTCCAGGCTGAACAGCCCCAATTTTCTCAGCTTATCTCCATAGGGGAGGTGATCCAGTCCCCTGATCATCCTCATGGCCCTCCTCTGGACTTGTTCCAACAGTTCCATGTCCTTCTTATGTTGAAGACACCAGAACTGTACACAATACTCCAGGTGAGGTCTCACGAGAGCAGAGTAGAGGGGCAGGATCACCTCCTTTGACCTGCTGGTCACGCTCCTTTTGATGCAGCCCAGGATACGGTTGGCTTTCTGGGCTGCGAGCACACATTGAAGCTGGCTCATGTTCATTTTTTCATCGACCAACACCCCCAAGTCCTTCTCCGCAGGGCTGCTCTTAATCTCTTCTCTGCCCAACCTGTAGCTGTGCCTGGTGTAGGACCTTGAACATGTCATGGTTAAACTTCATGAGGTTGGCATCAGCCCACCTCACAAGCTTGTTGAGGTCCCTCTGGATGGCATTCCTTCCCTCCAGCGTATCAACCGAACCACACAGCTTGGTGTCATCGGCAAACTTGCTGAGGGCACACTCAATCCCACTGTCCGTGTCACCAAAGATGTTGAACAAGACCGGTCCCAACACCGATCCCTGAGAGACACCACTAGTTACTGGTCTCCAGCTGGACACTGAGCCATTGACTACAACCCTTTGTGTGCAGCCATCCAGTTCTTTACCCACTGAGTGGTCCATCTATCAAATTGATGAAATTGAATCCCCTCCTACAGGAGGCAACAAAACTCTGTAATCTCCAAAACTCCCCCTGCCACATACAGACACTCACCCAAAAGCTATTTTTTTGCCCCTCTCTGACTGCATAAACTATACCAAAGCTCAAACCTGCATCATTCAGAACCTGTTAGTTTCTAGACAACACTAACCTGTAAAGAGCTTGCAGGAGCCTTGTGCCACCTGTGCTAACATTCTTACAGCTTGTCCTTTATGATGGTGTAAGGAATAAGTCTTGTTTCTTTAAAATCTGATATACTCTTTTAGCTTTCTTTGACAAGGTAGGTTCTCAAGCTCATTATCACAAAATCTGCATTAGAAATAGGGTACCCCCTTCTCAAATATCAGTGACCAGAACCATGGTTCCGGAGTAAGCTCTACCTGCCCCTTTTACCGCTGCATTAATAGTATCCTATACTGGACACCTCTCATGGTGTTTTAGGATTCCCTAAAATTTCCTGAGCAGAAAACAGTTGTAGACAGCCTCCTTTTACAGTCAGTGAAGAGAGACAGGTGCCCTCGAAGAACAATTCATCCCACTTGTCTTAGAGAGCTATATAGCCACCCTTTCTCATTCCACTGGCCACTGTGAAAGTCTGTACACCATTGCAAAGATAGACACTAAGCTTCAGGTTATCTGAGGGAGGATGAATCCTTCCTTTTGTGGTTATAAACTGCCTTTTCACCTGCCTTCCAGCACCATGGGTAGGGAATACATGCCTCTGAGGCTATGGTATCCAATGACAGCAGCACTGGGTGGGGGAAGTCTGTAAAGACTAAGGAGGAAATAGTGTGCAAGGATCACTATAATGACAGTTCTTTTACCTGGAGTATTCACACTAAGATAGTTACTACTGCTGGTCAGAGTTCACATGAAGGAAATATAAACAAGGCCATTTCCTCATCACAAACAGAACTTCATTATGCTGCACAAGTCACTTCAATTGTAGTTTCAGAGAACAATATAGCTTCTAAGCCCTGCTACCAAGCCTACTTCAAGATGCATCTACACAGCATGGCTGAACCCTATCATCCAAAAAGGACACAACTTGATTGTTATGCCCATTCTCCCCAGTATTTATCATTGTCTTAGCAATGTCTATGCTTTCCTAGAAAATATTACAGTAAAACTGATTTATCTTTTACAAAGATAAATATCACACAGTGAGTTTTAAGCAGCCATTTCAATCAGGGCCCTCTTCACATAGCTTTCAGCTCATTTTTGCCCACTATTGAGAGCAGCTGTATCTGATGAGTGTTAACGCAATTAGATGAATCTGTGATTACCAGTCCACTTGTCATTTAGATTAGCATAGTCAAACCTGAAAAAGGGCTTAAGGCTCAAAGTCCAGTTAAGTAAAAGTTAATAGTACATGCCACACCTCTAAGGCTGCTTCGTGATTTCAGCCTGAATCCTCTAAAATCAAGATGTTCAACCCAAGTCAGTAAAAAAAACACTGAAAGCTTTGTGTAAAGTAAAAACTCTCCCTGGCTCTCAATTACAAGGTGAGAAGAAACAACAGAATCTCTGCAAACTAAGCTTGCCCGTAACTAATAGCTCTGTTATCCAAAACACTCAACACTGACAGGTCTTTCCTCCCATGTTCATTCCTGACATACCTTGGTGACAGTACAGAAATATTTTCACCAAAATTCATCAAAATAATAAATTTGAGGTCACAGGAAGAAAAATATTCAACAACTGACATTAACATTAATCATTAGGAAATGCAATTATAAACCCTTACCATCTAAATTCATGACTCATATACCATTACTGCATTACTTCTGTAATATTATTTACAAAATCACTAACTGGAAGCATTAATTAAGAGAAAACCACCTAAAATCCCTTCAGTATTCCTCTGGCAATAGGCAAAGGTCAAGCATCAAGGCTTAAGCAGTGCTGCAAGCTATATTCAAGTGCCTTAAACATGAACATTCACTAAACGTATACTCCATTAAGGAGTACACACAAACTGAATACACAGCACAGTAATGGACGATTTACAGAAAAGTAATATTGCACCACAACAAAATGGCAGGTATAAACCACTGAAAAATGAAAAAAGAGTAACTCCTCTGCCTACGTGTATTCACAAAAAACTACAGTCAAACCATGCTACTTTATAGCATTATACAGAAAAATCAACTATTTTGTGACCCAGTATTTACTCCACCACAATATGCATAATTTCAAGAAAATGCATGCCAACATGTTCAAAAGCATCAGGATAAAACACATGAAATACACAATGATTCCAAACCCAATTAATTGTTGAAAAATTACCTGCATTAAAATGAGGATCATCTTCCATTGATCGTACTGCCTCCTCAACTGCATCTAAGGCACTGCCTCCCTGTTTCAGGATACCATAACCTCGCAGCGCAGCTCTGACAACACCATCACGACTTCCCTGTTCTCGTTCTTTAAAGATCCGGCCAGCTCCACCATGAACCACAATGACAGGATTCATCCTGCTAAATTCCTCAGAAGGCTTTCAGTTGTGTACACAGGTTAAACGTAATTAACCTGGTTTGGAAAGAAGCATCATTAGTATACCCTCCCTTCTATGCGGAAAGAGGCCTTGAAGAGGAGGCAGGTTGGTTAATAGATACAGTCAAGTTGACTACAAGCATTTCACCTTTCAGGAAGCTGAGTACTCACACAAAGTTGCTCCCAGTTAAAAGTCTGGACTAGAGGTGATCCCAGGTAACTTGATACAACTCTGAGGTCAGCCCAGCTTTGGGCAGGTGACTGGTCACAGCTGCCTCTGAAGGCCCCTTCCAGCCTAAATTATTCCACCATCTTTATCATGAATCCTGTCTGGTGGTATTACTAGTTACAGAGAAACAAGCATTTCAGTCACCTTTGCTCCTGCTAACTGCTCTTCATGTTAGATAGGTAGCACCGTTCTCTGTATGCAGCAATATAACCAGTGATGAAGAAAAGCGTCTGACCTGACCCGAGTTAACAGCTTAACCAGCTCTACAGCCTGCATTTCAAACCTCTGACCTCTTGTAAAACTTTGTACTTCACAGAGAAAAACAAGGCGTTCAAACCTGGCAGTGAAGTCTGTTGTTACTGCTTATGGCTTCTTATGAGATAAATCAAACAAGTGTTGCTACTTATCTTCGGTGACAGCAATCAGAGTTTTGCCTCGACAAAAAGGCAAAGAAGCAGCAGCCCCACCTCACACCAAAACCTAGGGCACCTCACTGAGGAAACTCCACTGGAAAGCACTTTCTCAGGGTCAGCTGGTTTTGGACACCGTAAGCACATAATCCAGCAGCCTTTCCCTCATCCTACATGCCCACCCCTAGACAGAAGCCCACGGGGACCCCGCACAACTAACTGCCGGTTCTTCGCAGCCCCGCTGCACCCAGAGTGGCACCAACTTTCGGGACCACACGCCATGATGGCAGCGGGGATGCACAGATCCAGACCCAGCCCTTGCTGTCTGGACGTTTCAGACGGGACGGGGAGGGGCAGAAACGTTTCGATTATTCACCGAGGATCCCGCAGCGAGGCCTTTCAAAGTTTTATTTCAACCGGCACCTACACTCTTCCCTCTGTGATAACCAGCGGTGCACCCACTCCGCACTGCCTCTCCACCTCCCGCGATCCAGCACTGCCGCCCATTGCAGCGGCGCCTCAGCTCGGGGCGGGCCGGACCCGCTGCCCGCCCACTGCTCTTGATGCCCCCGCGCTCGCCCAGCCTCACCAGCAGCCGCCGAGAGCGGCAGCTCGGAGTCCAGCTGCAGAGCTCCGTCCCCGGTCGTACTCCCGGGCAGGTGCCAGCGGCAGCACGGGGCAGGCTCAGCCGCAGGGGACGTGTCTCTTTTCCGCGGCCGGTCTATTCTGAACAACCACCCTCAATAGACATGGCGTCCTCCACTCGCGCTTAGGGATGCCCACAGCTAAGATGGCGGCCCGGCGCGCGCTTTTTTCCCCCTTCACGGCGGTAGAGGGCTGGGCGCGGGTGTCTCAGCGCGGCGGTAGCGGCCCGGCCCTGGGCTGCCTGGCAGTGTGTGCCGCGGCATCGTGCGCTTCTCGGCTTCGTTCCCCCTCAGCCGCAGGCAGAAGGGGAGTGAGTTCTCTGGTACAGCGCTCCCAAGAAAGGGCCAGCACGGTACTGTTGCAGGCGGGCTGTGGTAGGCGATAGGTAGCTGCTATGTGTCACTGCTCATCGCTCAGCACTGCTTGATTCCCCTAGCGTTAAATTGGAAAAATGGCACCTCTCCCCCCATATCGAAGCCAAATAGCGTCTGCCATACGCCCGCCATTCGCCTCCCCTCTGACCAGGTCGGGTTATTCCTATTACTCCAGAGCTCGGGCCGCTGTAAATTGATAGGGCTGTAGGCCCCGGCTGCCATTGGGACCCTTGGAAGACGACCCAATCCCAGTCTGCTGTTGGGTTGGCGCAGGCTGGGTGAGGGTTGGCTGTGTGTGGGCATGCTGATCCCAAATAGACAGTGAAGACAAGAAATAACCTTGCTGTTTATTATTAATATTGTTCTAATTGTAGGCTGCTAGTGGAACAAACAGTTGTTTGCTATAAAAAGAGTTAACTAAAAAAATGTTCTCTCTGAAAAGGAAAAATTTTTGTAAAATAGAGTTCATTTTATAAAAATAATTCCAAGGTTCCTTCCTTTTGTAGCAGGAAATACAAACACAAATGTCTCAAAAGTTATACAGAGTCTACCCAGCATGCAGCTGTCCTTCTGCCTTGGCCATTGTGAGAGTGGTAAGACACAGGCACAGGTTGCCCAGAGAAGCTGTGGCTGCCCCATCCCTGGCAGTGTTCCAAGGCCAGGTTGGACAGGGCTTGGAGCAACCTGGTCTAGTGGAAGGTGTCCCTGCTCATGGCGGGGAGGGGGGGGTAGAACTAGATGAGCTTTAAGGTCCCTTCCAATCCAAACCATTCTACGATTCCTGTTAAGCTCACCCCTCTTTGTTTCACTTTTCTTCTTTTTTCTCCATTTTGCTGCTTTAGGGTAGGCTGCAGGGAGTACAGTGAATGTGGTCTGCTGTGGCAACGCAAGGACTTGAGGAGACATGGCTGTGAAGGAGACAAGGATTTATGGGAATGTGAAGTCACTCGGTTTAAGACCTGTTTCGCTCCTCAAGGTTTCTTTAAAATGAATTAGTGTGCTTTAATTAAAAGGACCTGCTGCGGGTCGTTTTTCATTGTTACTGATAGGATTAACAAAGAAGAATTTAAATTTCTTCTGTGAATTATTTGAGACTACTGCTTGTTTTCATAGAATATTTATCTTGCATTCAGAAGTAATGCCAAAACAGGAAAACGATACTACTTGAATAGTTTAGAATAATAATTTCAGTTGTTTTCATGGACAGCCAAGCACTTAATTTAGATAGTAATCCGAAATTGAAATTTTAATACTTGTCTATCATTGTTAGAGTTCAACAAATCAACCATGTCACTTGGTAGAACTGGAATAATCTGTTTCTACATCAGTTTTCTACCTTAAGTCCTCTTCAGCTGATGCTTTTGCCATTATGGTCGAATCATTTAATGTCCTTTTAAAAATGCTGTAAAGCTTCTCAGAACTTACTGTAAAATACTGTTTTTAGTTTTATAACTATTATGTATATTTTTTTTAAATCAATGTATTGCATATCAGGAATCGGTCATAAAACTATGTAAACTGTTAGGATAAATTTTCAATGATTACTGTAGAAACCTATTGATTTCATCCTTGCTAATTTTCCTGACAGCTTTGCATATTAGAATTGTCAGAGAAGCAAATTCAAAAATACAGAGAATAATAAGTTGTTCTTTTGCTTGTGCAGCGTGGTGGGAATCAGCTTTCCTAAGTTAAATGTGCTATACTTGAAAGAGGTGGGTTACCATAGGTAAGGGAGAGTGGGCTGAAGGGGAGAAGTAAGTGATCTCGCCTTATGTGGATAAGGAACGTATGTGAGAATAGCCTGATGTTGTAGATACTCTGCATGACTAAACATGACTAGAATTGTGCCTTCTATTTCCTGCAGAACCCACATAATTAAGGGCATGCCCTCCTGCTTCTAGGGAAAGAATTCCCTTAGAATCTCCTTGAAAATCTCATTTTAGGAACCGGCAAAGAAAGTAAAATATATTGTAAAAGCAGTTCTTTTAACACATATGCATAATAAATATTTGTTTGAGTAAATATTTATGTAGCAACTTGTCTGTTATCCATGAGCTATTTTAGAATCTTCAAAACATGATACAGAACAGTGTTCTGTGTTTTATTGCTGGGCTTGTAGGTGCATGCAGAGTTGATCAAGGCTAAGGCTGCTTGAGCAAGTGTCAAAAAGCATGCAGAAACACTATACTAATTCAAGAAGTCTGCAAACTTGGATCTTTTTATATTAGGCAGAACTGTTAAATAGAGATCACTGCGACAGTAGGTTGCTCAGGTCATGTTCTGCAAAAACTCATGCATACTGAATAACTTAGTTCACATGCACAATTCGATTAAGTCTGTAAACCACTTCTTACTGTATTTTTTCTGCAAAGAGCATGCGACCATTTAAAGAAGCTGGAAAACCAGTTCCTCTGAGAATCAGTTTAATTTTTTAATGCAAATTTGCAATATTTCTTAAGCTTACTTTCAGGTAAGATCAGTAGTGAAGTATACCAGCAGTAAGACACAAAATGGTAGATACAGCATTCATGAAAATGCAGATGAGATAAATTCAAGTTTATTAATGAATTGTATGTTGAATAGTTTAGCTGGAAATATTTTCTTGGGTGGAGGGGCTAGAATCTCTGGTGGCAATTATGTTTTCTCCCCTTCTGCCCAAAAGTGAGATTAAATTGGGGATAAGTTCATTTTCCTTCTTTGAGAAGATTTTAACAATAGAACTCAGATATCCTTCATGTAGCAGATTGTCCCAAACAGGAAGTTAACAGCATCTTGTTGCTCTTGGTATTTAAGTATTTCATAGAGAGTGGGATGGTACTACCAGAGAGACAGAAGTAGGTGGCTATCTGAGAAACCTGTGCTGGGGGAGAAGGCAGAGCAGCATATGATGCAGTACTGGTCATGGGAAATCTCAGTTCAGATCCTATTTTTGAATCGAGCACAGAGTGGGTTTGACTAGTTTTCAAAGCTAAAGTTTAAAAATGGTCCTGGTAGTTCCTGCCTCTTTGTCATATATGTATTTACTGGGAATTCGTCAGTACTTATTAGCCTTGTGCTCTGCTGGAGGTGCATCCAAGGTGAGTGTCTTGAGCACAAGGACACTCAAAACTGCATGGATGAGTGGCAGAGACTAAAATTAGAACTTTTTGTTTTCCTTTTATTTTCTTCCTGTTGTTATAAGAGCCCTGAAACCATGTTGCATTTTTGTCACTGCATGTCTGAAAAAACATGTTCATCTATCACCTCTGTGCTTTTGAAGTCACTCCCACAGCCTGTGAAGTCTGTAAATCCCAGCCTGCTCCATTCTAATCACTTTAACTTCAAAGAAGGCAAATCAAGTTCATTTTTTGAGACTATTTTCAATTCTCTGTTTATTCCAAGCTTTACATTTCCTCTGTAAAGCTCTTTCATACATTCTTGTTTTGGGTAATCTGCATAGTACATATGTGCAGCATGTTGGAAAAACCTGTCTGTATGTCTGACAGAAGTTTACAGCTTTCCAGCAAATACAGGGGACTTCCAAATCGCTCACTTCAGAGAAGATGGCATCCTCGTTGCTGGCAAGAGTTGTTGCTTTGGTTCAACCTCATGTCCCTAGCCAGGAACACTTGCAAAGTCCAGAGCAATCACAACAATTACAGACACTTAAACCCCCAAGGTTTAGGAAGTATTTCTCTTACATGCCTCTCACATCTATTTTGCCTTTAAATTTTTATTACATTAGGAAAAATTGAGTTCTCTTTGTTCTTAATGATATACAATTAGCATGCTAAAGGTTGTAATTAAAACAGATTTTAGCTTAGCCCATGTTTTAGGCAAAACCATCATCACTTTCTAAAATATATTAGAACTTATTTGCTTAAATATTGCTTGAGATAAGGCCTTGAACTTACTTACAAACACACCAGGAATTTCCAGTGAAATTTATAA